TGTGAGTGTACCGTCAAATCAGATCTGACTGGTACAGGAGGAGATTGTCCCTCCTTTCCTGGCAGAGCATCTGGTAGATTCGAACCGTGAGCCTCTGGGATTGTAGTTGCAGCTCCTTGCCACTAGGCCACCAGAGCTCCCCTGAGTTTAACTTCTTTAGCTTTAATTTGAACTTGCATATGAGTAGTTGATGGTCTGTTCTGCAATCAGCACCCAGCCTAGTTTTCACTGCTGATATTCAACTGCTCCTATGATTCCTTCCACAGGTCTAATCCATCTGATTCTTGTGCATACCATCAGGTGAAATCTATGTGTATAACCTGTGTTTATGTTTCTTATAAAAGGTATTTGCTATGAATAAATCAAGGTGCAAAATTCTATCCTTCCATCCCCAGCCTATTTCTGTCACCAAGTCCATGTTTTCCAACTACTGACCCTTCTTCCTGATTCCCAACTTTTGCCTTCCAGTCATCCATTATTATTAATGCATCTTGGTTACATGTTCAATTGATTTCTGACTGCAAAAGTTGGTAGAAATCATCCATTTCCTTGTCTTTGGCTCAGGTTGTTGGTGTGTAAATTTGAATGATAGTGGTATTAACAGGTCTTCCTTGCATGTGCATTGGGTATTTTCCTTTCACTCACGACATTGTATTTTAAGATGGACCAGATCATTTGGGAGGCTGGGTTTTGTGAGGAAGAATGTGGCATTAGGATTTGAAGGAAGACTCATCAACAACCTACATTATGCAGATGACACAACCTTGCTTGCTGAAACTGAGGAGAACCTGAAGCACTTGCTGCAGAAGATCAAGGACTGTAGTCTTCAATATGGATTGAAACTCAACATCAAGAAGATAAAGATTCTTACCACTAGGCCAATTGGCAGCACCATGATGGATGGAGAAGAGATTGAGATTGTTAATAGCTATAGCTTGCTTGGCTCCATAGTCAACACTCTTGACACCAGCAGTCAGGAAATCAAAAGGCTACTTGACTTAGGTAAATCTGTTGTCAGGGACCTTTCCAAGGTACGGAGAAGCAATGATGTCAATCTAGAGACTAAGGTGGGCCCAAACCAGTTCATTGTCTTCACAATTCTTGCTATGTATCAGAGAGCTGGATGACAGAAAGAGAGCTAAAGATGACAGAAGAGTCTTCCGCTGTCGTCGCCGCCATCCTTGGCGCAACTCGCCTCGCTTGTTTCTGCCTGGGAGAGTCCACCACCATCCGCCACCATGGTGAACTTCACGGTAGATCAGATCCGGGCCATTATGGACAAGAAGGCCAACATCCGCAACATGTTCGTCATCGTCCACGTGGACCACGGCAAGTCCACACTGACGGACTCGCTGGTCTGCAAGGCCAGCGTCATCGCGTCCGCGCGGGCCGGGGAGACCCCCTTCAGGGACACCCGCAAGGATGAGCAGGAGCGCTGCATCACCATCAAGTCCACCGCCATCTCCCTCTTCTACGAACTCTCTGAGAAAGACTTGAACTTCATCAAGCAGAGCAAGGACGGCTCTGGCTTTCTCATCAACCTCATCGACTCTCCTGGGCACGTAGACTTCTCCTCTGAGGTGACGGCCGCCCTCCGGGTCACTGACAGAGCCTTGGTGGTGGTGGACTGCGTGTCTGGGGTGTGCGTGCAGACGGAGACGGTGCTGCCACAGGCCATCGCCGAGCACATCAAGCCTGTGCTGATGATGAACAAGATAGACCGGGCCCTGCTCGAGCTGCAGCTGGAGCCCGAGGAGCTCTACCAGACCTTCCAGCGCATCGTGGAGAACGTCAACGTCATCATCTCCACCTACGGCGAGGGCGAGAGCGGCCCCATGGGCAA